AACACACACACACACAGATACACAACATACACACACACCTATATACAATATCTTACATTTTTAAATAATATTTATATTAAGTAAAATTTAATTTTTTTATACTAAATTTAAAGAAAATAATATTATATTTCTCTACATAAAAGTTGTAGTTAGTAGTTTTACTATTACTTTTTTTAAAAGATATACATTTTTTGAGAAAAAAGCAAAATAAAGATACAAATCTAACGAATTTTCCAAACGTAGATAATTATTATTAATTAACTTTTAGTAAAATTTAAAACTTAAATTTAAAAATTAATTAAGTAACAATTAGGAAATATTAATATTATTATTGAATAATTATTTCAATTACATAATCTTCATTACGTATTTTTATATAAAAATTATGATGAGAAAGAGAAATTAGGCAAATTTTTTCCATTAGTTTCTAAAAAAATTATAATTCCTTTAAAATAATTATGATCAAAAAATAGAAATTATGGGAGTAAGAAAATAGTTTTAGAAAAGAAACTAAAACTTTGTAAAAAAATTGAGATTGACAAACCGAATTTTTTTCCTTTATTTTATAAAAATCTTTTAAAAATTCTTAGTTTTATTTTTCAATTAAAAATTGTGATTGAAAAAATAAATTATTTATATTTTTTTCCTTTTATTTCTAAAAAAACTTGAAATTTTGTTAAGGAATTGCTATTGCGGAAATAGAAGTGGTTCAGATTATTTCTCCAAGTGAAAAAGTTCCCGGGAATGAGATCGAAAAATTCTCGGGAACTGTTTTACGTAGATCCTCAAAAAAGTAAAATTTTCTACAAAATTTGAATTATGATAAGTTGTATTTTTCTCTAAAGAAACGTATAATTTTGTGAAAATAAATATTGTCAAAGAGAAACGGAACATATACAAAAATGTGATACATTTTTCATTTTTTAATCTTAATTTTTAACAATTTTTAAATATTTTTTATAAGTAAAGAAAAAAAACTCACTCTTCGGTAAGAAAAAAATTATTATTATTAATATTTGAAAGTTTTATTTTGTTTTTTAATGTTGTGGCTTTTCTCATTGCTTTGAAAAACACTGAATTACTTTTAACAAAATTTAAAAGTTCAATAATAATGCAATTATTATTGACTGACAATAATTATTACGTAAAGGTATTTGATCTTAGTTTAAAATAACACCTATTCTTTAAGTTTGACAACAAATATTAAAGTGCACTCGATTTGAGATATATTATATAACACGGAATAAATAATTTTTAAGTTTAAATATATTTTGTTTTTATCTAATCTATAAAGTTCCAAAAAATGGTTGGAATTGAATATTTTGAGTAGCAAAAACGAATAAATTTGTTTTTTTTGGAAAAAATGAGTTCGCCTATAATTTTTTCTTTTTTATGGCAAAATAATATTTTTTAACATAATAATCATTTTTTAATTTTATTTTGTTTGACTTTTGTATTTTTTACAAATCTAAACAAAAGGGCGTTCACTATTCGCGACAATTTAATTAAACAATTTTCATTACTGCATTTTTTGTATCTAGGTATTGTACAACTTAAGAATTCCACTTATTACAAAAGAATTGAAGATTTTTAATTGAGAAAATCCATGTCCATTGGAAGAATTTCAAAATCTCGTTAAGCATTTAATTCCATCTAATGAAGAGTTTTTTTGTACTTAAAAATGTAATTAGAATTTTTTTATTACCTATTGCGTCAAATTTGTTTTTAATTATTTGAATACACGGAGAGAGATTCTGTTTTAATATTTCGTATTATTATATTAGTATTTAGTAAAACCGATTGCAATTTGGGGAAATCATGTACATTTATGAATTAATATTACCATTTTTAAGAAAGTTTATAATCAAATTATTACTTTGTATTATTCTGAAGTAATAGAAATTGAAATAGTCAATAAGAAGTTGTAATATTATAAGTAAGAAAGTATGCAATAGTAAAAAGTATTACCAGATGATTATACTAAATACTATCGAAGAATTACATAAGTTGTTAATTTAGTTATGAATAGTATTATCGACTATAATAAAAATTATGACCAGCCTAGTAGCAGGCCATAGCAGGCTATGGGCTGACGTCAGGCTGACGTAGAGCGCTTACGAAGCTGTCCGAGATTAGCCGAATATTTCAGTCGAGCAGTTCCGAAATTATCCGAGTCAAACCTCGTGGCAACATGTGCACGTTGTGTTTACCCCAAAATATTTTAATTTGATGTGTCAAAATGTGTCGGAATTGGGTGAACAATTTTATTTTGTTCATTCAATAATTTTAATCGACAATGAAGATTTCCTAATTGTAGTAAAAGGCATAGTCCATTGTCTTTTAAATGAGCATTTGAGAGCATTCAAAATTTACACGGAAAAAAATTAATCTCTAAATTAGAGATTTAATATGATATTTAGGCATAAACTATCACTGGAATCGGATGTGTGATTTGAACAGATCTCTAAAACTGAAATTTAGAGTTATATCTAATCCGCATATATTATCAGTGTGAAGAATCCGTATTTTTATGCCTGAAAATGATATTAGAAATCTCAAATTTTATGATTTATCACAATTTAGAGTGAGAATTATTCAAAGAACGTATATTTTTCTTTTAGTATGAACTTATAAACAAATCCATTGACAATCATAAAAAATTGGACATTTTTTGAAGATAATATGAATTTTTTATTATTTCATTTCTTTATTTGAATCAAATTATCTCAACATCAACAAAACATGGTTTGGTACAACTTTCAATATAGGTTAGGTTTTCAAGTGTCAAACGAAAGTTTAACCTGAAAATACTAATAAATAAAAATATGTCCCACACGTGATAACGCGAAAAACATTCGTAAAATATGGAAAGTGAAAACTGGGAATGAAACTGCATTTAAAATATAAAATTAATACTTAAATAATTAAAATGGTTTAAATATTCTTTGACAATGATGAACTTAAAACGCAATGTAATACACATCAGATAAGTTGTGAAATTAACAAATCTCTAAATCAGAGATGTGAATTTAATTGTGACTATAATGTCTATTTTAGACATACTTACATTCCATTGGATTTCAAATTAATATTATTTCAAGTTTAGATATTAATTTTTTTCCGTGTACGAAAATGAATTAGGACATTGGAAGGTATTTAAAAAAAATGATTTAAGATATGCTGCATTTTCTTATGCCAATAAATTAAATGATGGGTTTTTTTATATAACGAAAAATTGGATATAATTTCAATAGAAATCATTTTCCAGAAACAAACAATTTTAAAAACAGTATTATGATAAACATTTCTGAATAAAATTTTGACCCAGCATACAAAAGTATGTATTTATAATGTAAAATAAATTAAGAACTTTTTTAAACAAAATATGGAGAAAATATCACTTTCTCACAAGTTCAGAAAATTTCTCGAGTTTAGTATATAAGGAAGTTGAGAACTGTATCTCCCAATGTACAGCGTGCGTGCGTTATTGCGTTTATTTGTATTTAAGTTAAGTTTATATGTATGCGTTTATAGGTTTTAACATAGATCTCCGAAATTGTATATAGTTTGTGTTTGTATAGTATGATGTATAGTATGATGCTTGCGTTAGCTCATTGGTGTGTGTGCGAAATACTTTCGAAACGATAATTCTATCCTCCTCCTTCCTACGTCTTTTTATTTCCTGTCCTTTTCGACTCACTCATAATTTTTAGTATTGACTATATTAAAGATTGAAATATGTATTTTATTCTAAAATTTAAAAGAACTATTTCAATTTTTCTTATTCTTTCGATACTTTCACGGACTGCGATTTTAATATAGTCATTTTTAAAAATTATAATTCTTTTATTAAATTGTATTACAATTTTATTAATTTTTGTAAAATATATCAAGGGCTGCCTACTAATATGCACAATATTAATTTTTAATATAAAACACGATTTCCCTAAATTGAAAAAGAATATATTAAATTCTATTGCCAATTTTAACAAATATTAATACAAAATCTCTCTCCGTGTATTAAACATTTTTTGTAAACCCGTTTACTCAAAATAAATAAATACATTTTTTGGCATCTGAATTTAAATCTATATAATTCATAGTTAGTATTAGACTTAATCATTACAGTGGTTAATTTTTGACATTTATAATAATTTTTTAAAATCTAACAGTCACATGCATAAATGATTAAATAATAATTAGAAAATTAATTCATAATATTTATTTATTAATATTTATATATTTTTCTCAAATATTTTACCCTAAAATAGTCACAAAATTTAATATTTTGTGTACAAATTATAATACTTATTCCTGAATTAAATTTATCAAATAAAATAAGTATTTTGTGAAAAGGAAACCTTAACAAGCATTTTACAACCTTATTTATTGCAAATTCTTAACCTATGTACCAAGTTTTGTATAATACAATATTTGAAACCAAAATTTAAGAACTGGTCGATATAAGTAAGAAACGTGGATAGAAGAACAGAATTTTTCGCAGTGAAGAAGGAAGGTTAGACGAAATCGTTATTGATTTTAGTTTTTATTTTATAGTTAAAACGAGAGCGGGCGTTATGCTCTTAAAAATATATGTACACACAGCATCCTTTTATCCTGCTGTAACCAAATTTGCAAACTTCCAGATCATTTTTTTCACCCTTTCACCCAAAGGAAAACGAGAACTTTTTCACCCCATAATTTTACCTTCTTTTTTCTCAATTTTGACTAATATTATTTTTTTTCGTTTTTCTTTTACATAAAAATTTTAAAATATAGTCCCTATTATACCGCATGGAATTTTTTTCCTTCTGTTAAAATAGTATATTTCGCTAAGCTTCTGCGATTAATTTAAGTTTCAAATAATAATATTAATAATAATGATAATAATTGTAATAATAATAATAGTAATAATAATGTGATACAAAAGTCTATTAATTTTAACAAGACTTTGAAATTTAAATATTAGGGTTACTATTCTAATAATAAAATAGAAACGATTAATTGATTTGTATTTATTTAATTAATTATGCTCACAAATGATTGTTAACTTTAACAAAATGTATTTCCATCGTGAAATTTGCAGTTTTAAATTCCTTTTTTATCTACCTTTTCAAGTTGAGCTTTACCTAAATAGAAAAGTTTACAATAATTCTTATTAATAATGTTACGCAACTTTAAATACATTTTCTTTTAATTTCCATTCGCTGGTTCGAAAATTTTTATGTACGTGGAAGACTAAAATCCACACAAAATAGTGTATTTTATTAATATTATATTTCACTCTTTATTTCCTTAAATAATTTATTATTGTTAATTTATTACCAATTTTATTGCAGTATACTAATAGAGATTAAGTTTTTTTACAATTCTGTAATTTGTTATCTTTTCAGCTTCTTTTTTTGAAACTTAGTTCGATAAATTAGAGAATTACGAGAAAATTGAATTTCTTTATTGTAAGTGTATGAAGAAAGAAGTTAGTAATTACAATAATCAATTGTTTCAACAAATAAAAATTATCTTTTTTACATTTTTCACACGCTTAGTGTGAGATCCAATCCAGCGAAGGGTAATAAAGCAAAAATATTAAATAACGTAAAATAATATTCATTCCGTAAATTAACATTTTATTTTTTGGTTTCTTCATTAGGTACTATTTTAATATTTAAATATTTAATTTAAATATTTATTATACATAGTAAAAGTGGGTATTATCGCGGGTGTGGGTATTATCGCGGTATTTTATATTTTAATGAATATTTCAAATAATATAAAAAATTTTTGACACTAAAAAATCACTCCTTGAACCTGACAACTAAGGCATTATAATATGCATCATATTTTTGATTATTTTTCTATTAATCAATTTATTAAAAATGTTTTAAAATTTGTTGTCTGGAAAAAGTTCAAAAAATGGCTCACCTTGGTTTGAGATTCAACTCTACAGTGGTGTCAAAAATTATTGTTTTTATGTTCTATAAAACTCTAAGAGATGATTCTTTTTTTATATTTTGGTAAATTTATTGTTATTCTTCATAAAAAAAAATTTGTTTAGTTAAAAAAAATTGATTTTTATTAAATATTTACAGTCACGATAATGGAGACATCTTTTTTTTAACATGTGGGTTTTTTCGCGGCTCCTATCATAACCCTTGAAAGTAAGGTTAGCAGTGTGTCTCTAAAGTTTAAAACGTTGAAATTATAGCCGATATTATTTTTGCTTGTTTTAATTTATATTTTATTAAAAGTACTTTCTATGTATATAAAAAAAATTAATTTTCAACTAAATAAATGTTGAATTAACATTGTTTTTCCACTTTGCACAGTAACTGTTCAATAAAAATTTCGTTTATTTGAACGTTCAGAATTTTAGTAAATCTTATGACAGTTACAAAATACAAGCAAGAAAATAAAGAGTAATGGAAAAGATAAAAAAATTAAAGTAAGTGAGATCTGTATATTTAAGGAAAAAATTTTTAATAGCTATAAGAAAGGAGCAAAAGTGTCAAATGAGAATTGACTATACGTTAGAAATATTTGATAATAATTGCTTTAAAATATTTTATCAGAGTATTATTTTATATTATGAGACTAATTAAATTATTATAATAAAACCAAGTATCTTTCTTCTTGTGATACTAGTTTACTATTGAATTCGTCTATTTATTATAATGCTTAAAATTTTGTTTAATTCAAGTTCTTGCGATATTTATATTTATATTTTTAAAAACTATATTATTATTCCTTTTAATTTTTTACATTTACTACATTTTAATTAAGTAACTATTACAAAAATCCAAAAAGCAATAAATAAATTATCAGCGATATTTACCACGCGATAATACACTCATCCGCGATATTTGACACGCGAAAATACCCTCAAGCCATTACAAGTCCCGCGAAATTACAAGCAAAGGAGTCTTCTATTTAATCATTTATTTAACGATTAAAACTATTTTCTATAACATTGGCAATTTTTTTCAGAAAGGAAAGCTTAAATATTCATTAAAAAAAACAAAGCCATATAAATTTATTTATAATTTTTAAACCACTTGGATGTATGACGTATACAAAATTCCTCGATAATACCCACATTTACCCTATATATATATATATATATATATATATCCTTATTAATAAAATCAGATGTCTGTCTGTACATTGCTTAAAACTTCAAAATGTTAACATGATTAGTTATTATGGACATCAGAGATTCCAAAAATGTTCTTAAAAAATTTAATGTATGTATGTATGTTTGTCTGTCACAAAAACTTTGTACCCCAATCACACAAAAACATGTGAATCGATTTAAGTCCAACTTGGTAGGTTATTAGGTATTGACCCAAGGAAGGTTTATAAATTTACAGATTTAAAAAATATTAATTAGAACGGGAGATATTCAATTTTTTCAAAAAATTCAAAAAATCGAAAATTTCAAAATTTTTTATTTTTCATGGATTGCTTTTGAAGTTTATATACTTGAGTATTATATGTTATTTAGTCACATTATAGCATAACTTTGCAAAAAATAAAGTCCTATAACTAATATGTAAGTATAAAAATGTTTTCAAAAAATCGAAAATTTCAAAATTTTACATTTTTTTATGGATTGCTTTTAAACTTTCTATATTTGAGTATTACATGTTATTTGGTCACATTTTAGCATAATTTTTCAAAAAATAATATTCTACAACTAAGATGTAAATATAAAAATATTTTCAAAAACTTGAAAAATGGAAAATTTCCAAATTTCACAATTTTTAATGGATAGCTTTTAAACTTTCTAAAAATGAATATTATATGTTATTTAGTCAGATTTTATCATAATTTTGCAAAAAATACTATCCTACAAGAAATATAAAAAAATTTTCAATATATCAAAAAATCGATAGGGGAAGTGCGCCGGTTGTGGGCACCCTTCGGTTGTGGGCACCCCTACGTAAACTTCGACGGCAAGCAGACTTTACTGATCTAAGTATTGCAAGTCGTGTTCGTTGACAATACGGACTTTTCGTATTGATAACGAAACAAATATATGCACTTGTGTAATAGCTGTGAGCATAATAAAGAAAATTTGCATTAAATAAATAAAAAAGTAATTTTGTATTGTTTTCGAAGAGCAACATATGGGTGTAGATTCGTTCAGAAAAAAAGGGTTTAATTTTTTTTTGCAGTGTTGTCATTATATTTTGTGATTTACCTTCGTGTTTAACCAAAATCCTGCATCACAAAATGTGTTGGTCTTTTTAAAAAATGACTTTCATTCCCGGTTGTGGGCACCTTTATGTTAAGGAAGCTCTACCATCTGACAATGATGAGGACTACTGTCTCATCTATCTAAACTTTCTGCCAAGGAAAGTGACAGCCGCAAACTCCATTAAATGCGATGAATATAGTCGTTCAGTGCATTAGAAGTGCGTTATGTTATGCGTACTAGCTACTTCACATGCAAGCATTATGCCTTTGTTAGCGATGAGCATAGTGTGAAAACGTGTCATCATTTTTGTTCTTTATCCCGGCAAATTCTCTTAAAATAAAGAAACTTTCATTTCTTCTTTATTTGTGTTGGTTTCCTTTAATATGTTTCCATTTTTAGCGGATTTTTCAAGGGTGCCCACAACCGGGTACAAAATTTTTTTCGTCAAAAAATTCCCATTTCACTAAATTTCTAATAAAACTTTTTTATTTAAAGGAATCAATTTAATTCCTTCACTGACAGTCACCTTAGACCTCTAGCTTTAAATTCGTACACATATATTTGTATAATATGCACATGGAAAAATATTATGAGGCAAAAACAAAAAGGTGCCCACAACCGGAACACTTCCCTTACTAATTACTATATGAAGTATAATTCAGTAGTATTTTTGGAGTCTCTGATTAATATTTTGATGTCAAAATAGTGCAATTCAAAATTATTTATCAAATCAATCTAATATTTTCAAGAAGTTCAGAAATATTGAAAATGGAAATTTTTTATGATTAAAATGATTTCGCAGGATGTCAAGAATTGTAAGTCACCTGTGATACAATACAAGCATATTATGCCACTAGGCAAAAACTTACATGTTAAAACGTTTTTTCATTTTAACTCTAGATTTAACTTTAAGAGATGTTTTGAGCAATGTTAAGACAAAAGTTAACACGGTGTCTATTTTTGTTTAACAAAATTCCCTGCTTTGTCCAAACTTTTCACGGTTTATCTCTTTTTTGTCAAATTTAAATTTACTTGATTTTATCCATAAATAAATCTACAAATGGCTATAAAAATTTACTTATTTTATGAAAATACTGTTTCTTAAGTTCATATAAATATAGATTGTATTACTTGCTGTCGTACAGTTTTCTGTTTATACTAATACATTTAACTGGGTATCTACCAAACGGGAAAAACTGTAAAAAGCTGGGAATATGCCGAACCGGGAATTTTCCTATCAAATTAAGAAAAAGTTTCATTATATTAATTCGCTTTTAAAAAATTGCTTTTTACTTCAATTTTTATTGATGTATAATATTTATGAAAACAGACCCGAGTCAAAATTTAAGCCCTACTTTCAGCCTAAAATTTAGGTCTTATGTTAGGTTTTAGCAGTCGTAACGTAGGGTCTACTTGCGATACAATTAGTTCCAATTAGACTCTACTATAACTCCAAAAACTGTATGGAAAATTTAATTTTTTTAATACATTAATTAAAGTACTACAAATTGATAAATATTGTTCTCTGCATTTGAATTGGTTAAAATAACTAATTTGATAACAAAAAGTCAATCACTGATTCAAATAGTAATATTTTCCTACTAAAATAGCTATAATGGTAACTAATTATTATTTTTTTCCGGTCAAATTAAATTCCCTAGCTATTTCCTGATTTTCCAGATTGGTAGAAACTTAAATGTATTGGTAGAAACTAAAACCCGTCGAAGACGGGTACGACAGCTAGTATATATATATATATATATATATATAATTTATTTTATTTATATTAATTATTTTATATTTATATTTATTTTATTTATATTTATTTATATTTATTTATTATTTATTTTTATTTATTATCTTTTATTTATTTATACTTTTTTCTGATGTTCAAAAAATCCATTTTCCATTTTTTATCACAAATTTAAAAGAATATTTTAATTTTTATTTGAAATTTTTGTAGCAAATATAATAATAATATTAATTCGTTTTGTTTTTAATACTTTTGCAAATATTATTTGATAACTTACCTGCTCCTGGGCCTGCCTCAATTGTAGTCCAGCAAATAATGAAAACTGCTGCTACCAAAACAGTTGAAAGGAATTTCATTCTTACTTTTGTTTTGCGATTGTAGTTTACAAACAATTTGTAGAATGTAACTTTTCCTTAAACTATTTTCGCCTTTTTATACTCGTGATAATCACTCGAAACTTGTTAATATTACTATTTGCCAACCTTTTGATTCAGTTATCTATATTCATTATGAAGATAAAGAATACGTTTAAACTGGTTATTATTTGCATAGGTCCAGTTTTGTAGTTACATTTATTATCAATTTTATTGTTAAACGTTTTTTAAAAAAATTATATTTTTTATGAAAAGTTGAGGATTTACGTTTTAACAGCAGCTACGTCTATGACCTTTGCCATGATTTTAAGAGCATGTGATTGGTAGGTTCTCAATGGTAATTTTTTTCACCACTTTTCTCTTTAAATATTTAATAAATTGAGCTGGAATTTTGTACAAAAGTGATGTGCAAAAGGTTTAATATTTTTAAAATTAATTATTATACAAATTACTTTAAAATTATCAGTTATCAAGGTCACTTCTAATCAATATCTCGTCTTTACCGATTTCAAAGTGTTTTATTATAATTTATTTTTGAATTAATAAAACTTTTGCACATCACTGCCCTTCTTTATTATATTTTAGACTTTCTTACAAAATTTCAGGTCAATTTATTCAATATTTAAAGAAAAAAGTGGTCGAACAAATTACCATTGAGAACATAACAATCACATGCTGTTATGTTAAATACATTAGGCATAGCCATTTGAGGCCAACTTCAGAGTGATGAACTTTAACCTGATTTTGAGGTTATGTTTGTCTTTGGACCTCCGTCTATGACCTGAAGCACCCCAGTCCGACTCCTATGTATTTTGAAGGAAAAATATGTCAGCTTAGTGGTTTGCGTTTTCATGTGCCAAAAAGTAACACGTGATGGCGCTGTTCTCAACACTCGCTCAAAATTCACTAAAGCAATAGAAAAATATCATAGAAACGAATAAATTATTTGTTTTTATAATGAAATCTTGTTGTTAGTGATGTTAAAAATACACGATAAGAAATAATATTGTATTTTTAACTCATAAAAGATGATAGAACAATTGAATAATTAGTATGAAAATACATAAATGTGTTGTACAATAAACTGATGACTTTCGTTTAAATCGTTTAAATTATCAGATAAACTGATTTATAATAAAAGTTAAAGGACAGTCATAGATAAATAGTATATTTAAAATAAAGAAAACAAATTTAGATAATATAAATAGCATTAACCCTCCGTCACACACATGAGAAAATATTCCGACCTTACACACGTTCAGAGGGAATCGCTCACCACATTGTAAAATAAGCAACATTACAACATAAACAAAGGAATCAACAAAAATTTAGTTTTAACACAAACTTACAAATATGTAGTAAATTATTCTAAATTATAAAATTAATCAAATTAATTTTCGGTCTCATAAATAAAAATTAATTACACGAATGCACATCTTCAAAGAAATTCCACTCGACATGTAAAAATAATGTAACATTAACAAATAAGCAAAAAAATCATTAAACAATTTATTTTAATTATATTTATAATATAATTTTGTCATCAACCAACAGTGGAACAAAAAATGTTTTTAAAACTTGATTTTTTTATTTAACATAACCTCACTTTTTCGAGTTTCTTCTGGCTTTGAAGCTTCATAATTAAATATTAATTATGTTTAAACTAAATGTTTTTTTAGAAATGTGTTGAGGAGTAAATTGTCGAAAGGTATAGAAACTGATTTTATTTTGCAATGAGGAAAACAAAAGTTATTTAAAAAATACTGAAACCGTAGAGGGAATCCCTCCCTAGGTGTGTGACGGAGGGTTAACTTTAATCCATTTTTTTAATTTATTATTTGAGATGAAATTTTACTCAAGACAAAAACAAACATGAACGTATACAATGAATAAAAAATATAATATTAAATAAAAATTTAAAAGTTTTAAACTTTTTTTAAAATTTTTAAACTAAGGCAAGCTTTGCCGGCTACTTATTAAAAACATTTTCACTTTTTAAACAATATGCTCTTTTTACAACATTAAAATAGTTTTTAATGTTAATACTTTTTTTACTTTCACATTTTTTTATAAAATTTAGTTGAGATTTCTAACCGATTTCAACACAACAAATACAATAATGAATGAGGTAACGAATATTGCTGACGAGTAGTGAGTACTGCGCCATCTCGAGGAACTTTTTTGCACATTAAAGTGCAAACCACTAAGCTGACTACTTTCTGGGAAAGACGGACAGGGGTGCCTGAAGTTATGTTAAATATACAAAAGTCTATCAATTTTAACAAGACTTTGAAATTTAAATGTTTGGGATTCTATTCTAATAATAAAATAGAAATGATTGATTTTAGTCCCGGAGCTGGCGACCAAATCAACTATCTCATTTCATACCGGCTGAAAATTTGAGTATAGATTACTGAAGACATGTAAATAATAGAAACCCACGTCTGGCACCTGGCAGGCCGACGTACATTTTTACACTCGTATGGATGTAAACTTTCGAGTTATGATGGTTTTAATCGGTATGAAATGAGAAAAATTTACATTATTTTTCACCTATTGACCCATTTGCCGCATCTTCGAAGGGCTGCCAGACGTACTTCGCCCCACCCCAGAACTGCCAGACGTGTATTTTTACACTTGTTTGAATGTAAACTTTAGATTTCTAAAGGTTTTAATCGGTATGAAATGAGAAAAAAATTTTCGATTTTTTTACGTGTTTAACCCTTTGCCAGACGTAGGGGAGACCGAGGTGAGTTGAAACGATTTTTACATTATCCAGTATAACTCAGCCAAAAATTGTCCTATTTTTATGAGATTTGTATTTTTGGATAGGTAGTTTTGTGTAGTATGTGAATCAAAAATTAAAAATGTAAAAAGTTGTAAGGGTTTACGAAAAAATTGCAAAATCCAAAATAGTTCCCAGTGTTACAACTCACCTAGTACCAAGGTGAGTTGTAACACATGTCGACGTTAGTTGTAACAGTTGCAAATTTTGTGATTTTAATGAAAAAAATTAATTTTTAATGCTTCCTTTAGTTAGTAAAGTAAATTTAATTAGTAAGTAAAGACATCTTATTAATAGAAACGAATAAAACACTCGTTTTAATACATTAATTTATTTTTGGAATTAGGTTATCACATATTTCACTTTCTTTAACACTAATTAGATATTTTAAACCAATCTTTGGTATTTCATTACGATCTATAATAACAATTCGAGCTTTATAATAGCTAAAAATAATATTATATAATATATTTTATAGAAATTTAGGAATAATAAAATTTTTTCTGAGAATTTTTAAATAATTAAGGAGTAAACTAGAGTAAAAAAATTTATGAGATCAATATAAATCAAATTAAACCAAAAACTAAATTAAAAATGAGCAACAAACTCAATAAAATAACAAAAAAAACCTATAGAAAGAAATTATTTTGACTTTTGTATATGAAAGAGCAACTCGAAAAATGTTTTTAATAATATTTTTTTTCCTTTGGAAAATATGAAAATGATTTACACGAAAATTTATAAAATTCTAAATACTTTTAAAGCCATAATATTAAACAATATACTTTAGCAAAAATCAAAACAGTCTCTATTCGATCAAGCACAAATTTGCGTAAACCTAGGTGAGTTGAAACAGCCTGTTACAACTCGCATAGGTGCGAAAAACTGTGCATCGGTTCGAATAATTATTTTTTATTTTAAATTTCGAGACTTACACAAAAAAACAAAATTATTAATGTAATAAATTCACGCTTTTCAAAATTTTTAAAAGGTCATAGTTTTCGAGAAATCGGCTTTGTTACAACTCACCTCGGTCTCCCTTACTTTGCCCCACCCCAGAACTGCCAGACGCACATTTTTACACTCGTGTAGATGTAAACTTTCGAGTTATGATGGTTTTAATCGGTATGAAATGAGAAAAATTTACATTATTTTTCACCTATTCGCCCCCCTGCCGCTGCCCCCTGCCTTTAGCACCGGCCTGCCAGAAGTGGGTTCCTGTTATTTACATGTCTTCAGTAATCTATACTCAAATTTTCAGCCGGTATGAAATGAGATAGTTGATTTGGTCGCTAGCTCCCGGACTATTTGTATTTATTTAATTAATTATGCTCACAAATAATTGTAAACTTTAACAAAATGTATTTCCATCGTGAAATTTGCAGTTTCAATGCTTTGCTGCTGCTCCTTCTCCTGCTTTCGGTGCAATTGCATTCTCTTTTGCAGCTTTAACTAAATTGAAAAGTGTGCAATAATTCTTATTAATAATGTTACGCAATTTAAATGAATTTTTTAAGGGCTTACACCACTTTGTCAACTTCAAATAAATCAAACTTTTTTTATTACGGATTTCAAAAGTAAAATATGTCAAAAATGTTGTGTAAAAATTTTAGATAGATCCCAGCACTCTAAATATATTTTTTTCCGCGTTGTTTGAGCGCGTCACGGGCTATTTAAGTATAGGTACAAACTTTAAACGTGTTTTTCTCAAAACCACATTTTTCCATGCTGTGTAATGCTTTTCTCGGAAACTACTAAACCGATTCTTATGAAGTTTCGCCGGAACTAGGATTATTTAAAAATATTAATTTTTATTATTTTTTTAAACTCAAAAATTGTCCAAAAAATGCACGGCTTTTCGAAAAACTTTATTTAAACTGCTCCCATTTTGTTTTCTTCCATAAAAATTAATAATTCTAGTTCGGACGATAACTACAAAATTTTTTTGGTTTTTGCATTTCTGAGTTTTCTAATCTGAAAAACACATACACAGTTGACATCGATATTTCTAGCAGGGCTAAAAGTATTGTTAAATTTTAAATAAACAAATAATATTTTTTTTCATAAAACGACGTTTTCTATATAGTTAAAGAGTGTCTTCGTTAAACTAAAAAAGATCTAGATCAATAAAATCTACATGGATCGTACAAAAAATTCTACAAAAAAGCTAAATTTTGAGGCGTGTAAAGTGGTATGAACCCTTAATTAACCTTCGCTGGTTCGAAGATTTTCATGTACACGGAAGACTAGAATTTACACAGATAACAAATTTAAAATTTGAGAAAAAAATTTTAAATTCAGATTTTATGGCG